GGCATCTAATACTGAAAAGGACTTCCAGAAACACGTCAGATCATTGCCTTCATCGATGTACTTTTGTAGCAAATTTGATCTGTAGATTCTCTTCATACTTGAGATAACTCCTTGATCCATTGGTTGGATAAGTGCGGTAACATTAGCGGGAAAATATTTCACAAAAATATTTCCATCATCTGACCTCAGGAGACTTTCGTTAGGATGTGAGGGCACATTGTCAATGAGGAGCACAGCTTTCTCGGGTAGGCCTTGGGATTTTAGATGGTCACAAACTTGAGGCACAAATTTAAAATCAAACCATTCTTTAAATATCGTTCTATTCATCCAAGCTCCTTTCTGATTAAAATAATGGATAGGCAGACTTGAAGCTACTGTTCCTTTAAAAGAGTGTGGGCTTTTCGCTTTGCCGATAACTACTGGTGTTGGTTTGTGTGTTCCTGATGCATTAGAACAGCACAAGGCTGTCAATCTCTCCTTACTGGATTTGTGACCTGGAGCCTGTCTTTCATTTTGAAATGCCAAAGTTCTGGTTGGCAAGCATTTCCGATAAAGACCCGTTTCATCGGCATTATAGATTTGTTCTGGCAGCAGATTTTCACTTTTCATGAAACTATCAAAATGGGTGCAAAATTGAACTGATGATGACAAGCCCCCTGACAGTTTCTCACCTTGAATACTAATTTTTCGTATTCCATGATGCTGCTTGAAATGTGTTAGCCAACACGTCAAAACTTCCTTGTAGTTCAAGTGCTTTGGAAAAAAATTTCGCTTGTTTAGCACAAACTGCTCCTGTTGTTGTTGTTGTTCCCTGTGCCCTTAGTTGATTAAACCAGATCAGCATTGCTTTGTCGAGATCATCATATGTTGATTTTTTCATGGTTTTTCTCTTCTTCATTCTGCTTGAATTAGAAGACGAAGCAAAGGAAATTGATTGATCCTTTTGTTTTTTCAAATCACGAACAGTTTGTTCTCCAATACCGTATTTCACTGCTAACTGTTTAACTACACCTCCTTTTCCCAACTGATTGATAATTTCAAGTTTCTGTTGAGTACTTAACACAACATGCTTCCTTTTACACCCTGACATTTTGGTAACGCACCTGAAGGTAGATACAAACTGGGGCAGTTCTATCTGTCCTTGAAACTTTCCACAAATCATTGCATTCTTTCACCCCTCCCCAAGAACATTGTGTCAGCATAACGGGACCAAAAAATGCAGAGGTCGGTTCACACTAGTGTGAAAATAGTGTTACAACTCACCATGTGAAACAAAAGTGAATGAATATTAAACAACATATAAGCCTCAAAAAAGCACCGGTAGCCCCGGTTAAGCCGCAGACCGGTTTATCTGACCCCAGATAATCGAGAGCTGAGTGTATTGCACTTCTTGCTGGATTTATTTTTCTCCACATCTATGCTAGTATGTTCACTTACCACTCTATTTCTGACTGGTCTTTATCAGTGCTTGTGTTGTTTCATCTCATGCTATGACAAAAATCAGTGTCAGGGGCCAAGGTATGATCCATTTCCTGTCTAAAAATAGACCATGTTTTGTTTGAAAATGTCCAGTTCAGTTTACTGCTCAATCCTCATGAGATGGAAAATCTGGGACCAATTACAAGCAAGTGGTTTGCTTCATGCCATGTTGCTGCTGGTAGTAGTGTGATACCTGAACTCACAGATCATTCAGATTTGGATGAATGTTAAACTGAAGACACCCAGAATATTGAAGAAATTGTTAACAGTAGCGACGAATCATCAACAGCAAAAAAAGGGAATGGGGAGCAAACAGGCAAGCAGGTGATTCAAAATTATGATATTATGATGAAAAGAAATACTGCTGCAGTAAACACACTGCAATATTCTGGTCTTTCAATAATAAACCCAACTTAGGAATTTCTGAAGACAGTTCTCCAGTTGCCTTTTTCATTTTGTTTTTTGACAACAAAATTTGCAGTGTGAGACAATTTCTCAACCACCAGCAAAGCAGAAAGGAAACAGAAATCAGACAAGCAGCTGATTCAGAAGTACATTAAAAATAAAATATATATTCCTACAGTAAACAGATATGCATTTTTGGTCTTCCGAGACTAAATCTTGACTTAGGAATTTCTGAAGAAAGTTTTCCAGTTGACATTTTCTGTTGGTTTTTTGACATTAAAATTTTTAGTGTCATTCAGAAAGAGACAGACAGATGTGTGGAACAGCTAAAAAGAAAACGAAAGGACCTTTAAAACCAAAAATATCTCATGGCCATTGGAAATAAGTGAATGTGCAAGAAATAATATTTCTTGCAGGTACAATATGCGTTTATGTTCTGTGCAGACTGTATGTATGGAATTCCTGGAGGATGGTGCCAGTAATTTGTATCAGTTGTCCAGACTTAGTTTTCATGTTACGAGAGATTTCTGGCCATGCGTAGAATGGTTCATCTGCAAAACAGTGAAAGCCACGTACCCAGTTATTGATTAGGATATGGCCCTCTGTACAAAGTACAGCCCAGCCTGAGTAGTATGACTGCAGAATTTCAGAATGTGTACAGTCTGAAGGAATTTCTTACAGCTAATGAATCCATTTGTGCTTTTCAGTGACACTTTTCGGTATATATATGAAAGGAAAGCCCCATAAATGTGGGTTGAAAATATTTTGAGTTATGTGAAGCCAGGAGAGGATATGCCATTGATAAAGAACATTAACAGCCCATTAACTGTTGTAGGCAGATTCTGTGGTCCAGTGAAAATTGAGTACAATTAAACTAAATGAAAAGAAAAATTGTATATGTAAATATACATGATGCTGTAATGCATTGTATAAATGTATTGTGCCAGGAATCAGGAATGTATACTTCCATGGAAATGCAATACCAGTGGGCTGTTGCCTAGAAATACCTTAAGCAAGAAACATGTTTCCCCGGAGATGAAAGGACAACAAAAGGTTTGTTGCATAACAGCCGCCAAGAATAAAAGCTCCTATATGGTGTGCTATATTCTGTCCGAGACCAGGTTATAAAAGTCTAGCTTCGAAGGGACCAGACAGAGTTGAGTTCTAGAAGTTGCCGAGAGCAGTTGAAGTTTGTGTTTGACCTTAGAAGAGTAGTCAGTCTTCAGTTTGTCTTTGACTGTAGCAGAAGCAGTAACTGTGATATTGAAATTGTTAGTAATTGAACTTGAAAGTGTAAAAGGCTTTGTCCAATAAATATTCATGCAAATCCGGAAACCATCATGAATTTATATGTCGTGTTACATAGGCATCACGCGACAATATGTTTCCTATTTGGTGAGTTCTCTTAGACAGTGCAGCTGTTAAGAACTTCCCCAATTTTTCTGATGAACTTTATGACTGTGATGTTAATTTTCCTGACAGTTTTCAGAATATTTCATCTGTCTGACATATTGCAATTCAATATTTTCTTATTTCTTAGGTTTGGCACAATGTGCAGAGCTCTGCTGGCAGCTCCGTGGAATGGCAGGGAGACGACAAGTGCCTGATGCAAAGATAGCTCTCCAGCACAACATTGGTCTTGGAGGAGCTGTTGTTGTTGCACTGTATAAACTTGGGTTTCCAGGAGCTTCTGAGGGAAGGTATGCAACACTTCAAGTATTCTATATTTTCCACAGGAACATACAAACCATTTCTCTTTTTTTCTACAATATCTCTGTATATGACTATGAACAGTATGGGAAGGAATAAATTATAGAAGAGGGTATTTTTTTGTAGTGTGGTGATTGCAGAGATCCATCTGATGTGGAACTTTGTGTTGATGTTTACTGTACCTCATGTCTTAATGTGCATGTGCAGTACTAATATAGACAGACTGTATTACTTATTGAGTCAGTCTGAAGCAGTCTAAGCTTGGGAGAGCATATTGCATATTAATCCAGCATGGAAAGTGGCTGTTCAGTTATTGAATTTGCAGGTATGAATCAAGTGCTGGGAGAGTATAGAGAAAATGCTGATAAAAGATACAGAGAAAAATACCTGAATTGGAGAGTGCCAAATCATCATACTGTAACGTGTTTCGTCACTGAATACGCCGTAGAGATTGTTAACCCGTTGCCGTGGTTCGACGTGTATGTTTCGTCAGGGATTTAAATCGTCTGGGGGGGTTCGACGTGTATGTTTCGTCCAGCTGCACACGTATGTTATAACGCCCATAATAATTGATGGTTTTGCTGTAGATTGTTAGATTTTTCACTGGCCTGTTGTCAGGAGGACTGTATTTAATGACACACGCGTTTAAGAGCGCTAAGTCGTCGTTACATATGCCTGTCTTGCAGCAACGTTCCTGTGGCTATTGCGAGCTGTTTCTGTTATGAATGATGTGTTTTCTTTGCTCTGAAGCTATAAACACCAGAGACTGATATGTGCTGGTGTTTATAATATCATATTGCCCTGAGCTGGCTATTCAATTGGAATTCTTAGAAGAGGGATGTACAAAAGTTTATGCCTGCAAAATCGATTGCTTTCGCACAGTACATAGCACCCATTTCTTAGAAAAACGCCACATTTTAAGGCAGAACACTGTGGTCACCCCCTGAGACGATACGGATGTGTGTGGGGGAGGGAAAAGAACTCATTCCTTCGCTCATTATCGCTCCAGTTGACTCCATTTTATCGTACTGACCTTGGTGGTCGTTTCGAGGGATGACCATAAATATTTTTTTGAGCCAGCTAAGCTCTACTTTCGTTCACTACATACCAGACAGTTCTTAGAATAACTTCATGAATTCTGTGGTCACCCCTACGACATCTCCTGCCGCCAAAATGGATGGAATATCAAAGGCATAGCAACAACCCCTTGTTATGATAACTCGTAACGTTGAATTTACTACAGCTGACCTGGCAACTAAACGGGTCACGGAAAGACATTTCCTTGAAGTATACCCCTCACGGGTAAGAAGGCAAGGCCGCACATATGTGTGGTTAAAAAAAAGGGCCAAAAAAAATACACAATATTGGAGCGGAGAATGGTGAACGTGGGGCACCGTTGGGTTATACGAATGCTTCAAGGCCTTCCTTCTACTAAACCAACTGCCTCCATTACCGAGATACAGGGCGCTCATATTATAAGGTAAGGTTATAAAACCACCATTTAAGATCATTTTAGTGAAAGTTTCATCCTTCAAGGCGTACCATTCACTGCTGAAATACTAAACAACCTGCTTCCATGGCCGAGATACAGGGCGCCCATATTATAAGGTAAGGTTATAAAACCACCATTTAAGATCATTTTAGTGAAAGTTTCATGTTCCTATCTCATAGAATTTAAGAACAATGATGAATAAATAATTTTCGAGCAAAATTTAAATGGCCGGCTGAATATATTACCGCAGGAGCCGCGGCCGCGGAATTTAAATGACCACGTCAAAGGGTTAATTGGTTTATTCAACAACCTGCAAGTAACGGCTACAATTAATTATAACAATGTTACGGGTTTCCAGACTTTACAAACCCTACAACCAAATCTCTTCACACTATCTTCAAGAGTCTTCACGTATTAATAACACGGGAGCTATACAAGTCTCTCTGAATTACACACTTCAAATATAACTGTACTACAGCACACACAAAGTCTTGAAAGCACACAATAAGTCTTCCACTCGCTGACTTCTTAGTTATTGCACACTGTCACATAAAATCTTGTAACCATGCGTTCGGGTCTTCTTACCGCGACTGCTGCTATGTTTCAACTCTAGGCTGCTGCCTTGAGAACTGTTGATAACACACTGGCTCTCCCTTGCTGCTCAGCCGGCTTTTATCCCGTTCGCTGTTACCTGTTGCCCGCGTCAACAGCGTCGTTGCGTGCCACGTCACAGCAGGAAGCGGTATCACGTCACAGTAGGAACCGGTGTTATGCCGTGTTGCGTTACCGCACATTGCGCGTTACATCACTGTGGGGAGATTGGCGGGGCGATGACTCGCCTATTACCATAGTAACGAGAGCGCTACATTACAGCCACGTACCGCTGGGGAGGTGGGGGTTCTCCGTTGCGCAACATGTCACACTGCTCCCTCCTTAAGGTTGTTCATCCCGAATGGCCTAATGGTGTATCCCCATTCCTTTTCTTTGGGGGTTGTTCTTGCAGCATCTTCTTTTTGTCCTGCTACTCTTTCCCTTCTCCCCGTTGCTCTGCTTTCCAACCTCTACATCTTCCCCCTTTTTATGGTTGCTCATCTCGAACAGCTCCATGATAAGGCGCGAGCCGGTCGAGGTGTACAACCAACATCCTCAACCTTGGGGTCTTCTGGATTCGGTATACCACATCATTTATCCAGGTCACTACTTTGTAAGGACCTTCCCATGATGCTTGTAGCTTAGGCGATTTCCCTTTCCTGCTAGTTGGGCGATAGAGCCAAACTCTGTCGCCTTCATTGTAACCTGCGGAGTTGGCCAGTTTATCGTACCGAGTTTTCATCCAGTGACTGGCGAGCTTCAGGTGTTGCCGGGCATAATTGTGGATGTCGTGCCGTTGATCCACTAAGTCTGCTGCATAATTGGTTGTGGGTAGTTCTTTGTCTGGGGGTACTCCAAACAGCAGGTCGCAGGGTAGTCGTAGTTCTCGTCTGAACACTAGGCCAGCAGGCGTCAGGCCCATAGTGTCGTGAGTGGATGCCCTGTAAGCTAGGAGAAAGAGGGGTAACCTCTCATCCCAGTCCCTTTGATGCGATGCGACGACCTTCCGCAGGTGCTCTTAGATGGTCTTGACGTAGCGTTCCACCATGCCATCCGACTGTGAGTGCAGGGGTGTGGTGTGCGTCTTGCTCACTCCTAGGCGTTGCAAAACTTCTTTCAGTAGATGAGACTCGAAGTTACGGCCTTGGTCACTGTGCAACTCCCGAGGTATGAAGTTGGCAACCAGAACTTCCGCTA